GAGGGAAGGAGGGGGGAAGAAGGGGGGAGGGAAGAGGAAAGGATACGTGTAGATGATGCACAGAGGGAAGAGGGTGGTTAGTGCTAAGATGTCAGAAGGCTGCCAGTCACCATGGCATGAAAGAAGAGCCAAGGAGACCATGAGAGGAGAGAGCAGAAGGTGCACTGCCCCAGGGGCCGGCAGGTGTACTGGGTCCCGGGCTCCCTCAGCAGAGGCTCTCAGAGAGGTTCTGAGCACCAGGAACCAGTACCCTCTGAGAGGGACTCTGCATGTTTGAGAGAGTGCTAACACCCGAAGTTCTCTGAAACTCCTGAGCACAGGACATGGAGCAAAGCCAGATTGGCTGCCTCTGGCAGGACAGGCTCAGAATGGGCATCAAGGAGAGAAGTCGGACCCTGAAGTCCAAGGCGGTCAGCACCATCGGGACCACCTGGACCAACTTGGGTAATTCTGACAGCACAAAGAAGTTCCCATCCTACCTTCCCATTGCACCGAGAAGCCCACTGAGGCTCAGGACAGCGGGGGAGACTGAACAGAAAGGTTGTGCTATTTGTGTGTGCTCAAGCTGGGGCTCGGGGACAAGACCTAACTTAACCTCCACCAGCCAGAACCCACGGACCACCACTTACCTGAATCCCCTCAATGCGCTCAGTGACAACATAAGCGTGGTGCATGGCTACCAGCGGGACCTTCACCCCAGCCATCTGGCCCACGGCACTCGCCCAGACTCCTGAGGGTAGAGCAGGGAACAGTTCAGCTGTGCTGCCACCCCAGTGGGCAGAGGTAACCTCAGCAGCCCTGCCTGCCCTGGCCAGGACTCCCTGCCCCAAGCAGAGGTGGGGGCGGAGCTGGGGGAGCCGGCAGGAACGCTGTTCCTACCTGCACAGTTGACCACGCAGGGCGTCTGGATGGAGCCATGCTCTGTTTCCACGGCCGCCACGCGACGCACGCCGAAGTCATCCGTCTGTACACGGATGCCAGTCACTGGGCAGTTCTCAATGACCTAAGGTGGTGGAGAGAAACTGAAGCCATGTGGGGCTCCCTGAGAGCCTACACTCCAACTTTGATCAGTGCCCCTTCTGGGACCAGGGGATGCTGTTTCTGATCACGTTTCCTTTATTTGATCACTGGAACGGAAGCTACCGCACCAGGAAACAGAACCCACCATTCCTTGATTGGAAACTGCTGCAGGTGAGGCAGAGGTTAGGGAACACTCCTTCAGGATATGAAAAGGTAGCTGACCCGTATTTCAATTAAGATTCACTTGATGAATGGAAAATATTTCTGACTTGTATTTAGTTGGGAAAAAAAGTCCCAAAATAATGTACATTTATTTGTGACTTCCAGAAAACAAACATTTGGAGAGAAACACACTAAAATGCAGAGGGGATTTCACTTTTTTCCTTGTTTATTTGTCTTGTCCGGGGAGGGGTGTGGATGTGGGTGTGGATGAGGTGTCTGGGTGTGTGTGTGTGTGTGTGTGTGCAGGTACGTGAGTATGTGCACTACGCTATTTAGGGTTAGTCAACTCGATACAACCTAGAACCACTTCAGGAAACAGTCTTTAATTTTTTTTTTTTTTGAGACAGGACCTGGAACTTGAGATGTAGACCAGGCTGGCCTCAATCTCACAAAGATCTGCCTGCCTCTGCCTCCCGAGTGCTGGGGATTAAAAGCGTGCACCACCATGCCCAGCTATTTATCTATTTTTATGTGTATGAGTGCATGTACGGCATATATGTAAGTGTACCCATGTACATGCAATGCCCTTAGAGGCCAGAAGAGGATGTCAGATCCCGTGGAACTGGAGTTAAGGACAGTTGTTAGCTGCCATGTGGGTACTGGGAACCGAACCCGGGTCTTCTGCAAGAGCAGTCAGTGTTCTTAACCACTGAGCCATCTCTCCAGCCCCGGAAAAAGGTCTTAATTGAGTAATTATTTAGATCAGGTTGGCCTATGTGTATCTCTGTGGGGACTGTCTTGATTGTTAAGGCAGCACCGTCCCCTAGGCCGAGCCCTGGGCTGGGTAGAAGTGGAGACAGACCACTGAGCATAAACGGCAGGCAGGCAGGCAGCCTGGGTGCATCCATTCATCCCTCTGTGCTCCTGACTGTGGACATGGTGTGACCAGCTGCTTGAGTTCTGGCCCTGATTTCCTTCAATAATGGACTGCGATCCAGAAGTGTAAGCTGAAGAAACCCTTCCTCCCCTAAGTTGCCTTTGGTCGGGGTGTTTTGTCACAGCAACAGAAATCAAACAGGGGTGTGCACTCGTGTAGAAGCCAGAGGACGCTGGGTGTTCTCTGCTGCTTTCCAGCTTGTTCCCATGAAGCAGGGTCTCCCACTGGACCTATAGTTCACCATTTCCACTGGGATGGCGGCCAGCAAACCCCAGTGAATAATCCTCCTGACAACCAACACCCAATAGTACCAGGGTTTCAGGTGCACAGAGCCACCTGCTGTGTGGATGCTGGGGATCAAAGCTAGGTCCTCACACTTTCTTGGTAGGTGTTCTTACCCACTCAGCCACCTCCTCAGCCCCTGTTTGTCTTTTTAAGTTTTTCTACAATTAAGTGTGGGTTGAGGCAAATGGAAGATTTAAAAAAATAAAATAAAATAAAAAAACCTTAAGAAGTGATTCAGTTGCTCTGCAACACAGTAGGACCCTGGGAAGAGGGACGATGGGAGCTCTGATATCTGAAGAAAGAGCTAAGGCTCAGCCCACCTGGAGCAGAGAGAACCCAAAGGCTCAGAAAAGTCCCTCCTGGCCTGGGACCACACAGCAGACCAAGGATGGAGCCTGGCCTCTGGCCTCTGCCCTTGGGGGTTTGTAGGAAGGAAGGGGTGGGCTCGGAGCAGGGGCCCAGAGTTGGCAGCTGTGGGTACCTGAGCTCCTCGGGCAGTTGCCGCCCTGGTGAGGGTGGTACAGGTGCCAGCAGGGTCCATGGTGCCATCCTGTGGCACGTACAAGGTCCCGTAGAGGTCATCCACATTCATCAGCGGGTACAGAGCCTTGGTCTCTGTTGGACTCAGCACGTGAGACTCTACACCATAGGCCTTGCCCAACTAGGGGGACCCAGAAGAGAGCACCTTAGCCTGTGGGGGTGCGGGTCTTCATGACACTTGCTACCCAACCAGGGGCCCCAACCAATTGCCTCCAGAAGCCTGAGCGGGGGTGGGAGGATGCCTTCTGAATCTGTTCCGGCCTGAGGGTAAAGGGGTAGGTCTAGGCTCTGGGGCTACACCCCCTTCTAACCAGCTCCCAGCACCTGCCCCATTGACAGCTCTCTGACCCCAAGAATTACTTAACTCCCACTGTCAGAAACGGACTGACAGCATTTGGGGCAGTTGATAAAGAACGTGGACCTGTACCTGCTACACATGGCTTACGGCATAAGACCAAATAAGTTATCCTCACATTCTCCTATTTGGGGCCTGAGGATCAGGTTTCCAAGGTCAGACCAGCTCCCCCAAAGAAAACCAACACAGCCCTTGGTTGGTGGCACACACAATCAAACGGGCCATGTCCCCACATCTAATTGGCCAAAGGTAGCCAATCCAGTAGAAGTGACCTATCTGACAGGGCTCCACTCAATGAGGAATGTGCTGAATCAATCAGATTCTCCGAATTTTTTTTAAGTTATTTTTATTTTATGTGCATGAGTGTAAGTGTGTACCATGCCATCAAAGGCCAGAAGTGGGCATTGGATCTCCTGGAACTGGAGTTAGGGACAGATGTCAGCCACCATGTGGGTGCTGGGAACCAACCTAGGTCCTCTGCAAGAGCAGCCAATGCTCTTAACCACTGAGCATCTCTCCAGTCCTGAGAATGTTTTTTGTCTGTCTGTTTGTTTGTTTGTTTATATGTTTGTTTGAGACAGGGTCTCAAGTAGCTCAGGTTGGCCTCAAACTCTAAGTAGCCAAGGATGACTTTGGACTCCTGATCCTCCTGAGTGCTGGGATTACAGACTCTACTACCACATCTGGCTTCAAGCAATGATTTCATTCACAGGCTCTGAAGAGCTCTGAGTTTGAGGTCCCAGAGCGGTGAACCACCAATCCCAGTTTTATGCATCACTGGGGATTGAACTTGGGGCTTCCTGTATGGTACGCAAGCACTCTGCCAACTGAGCCACGTCTGCAGCCCTCTCTGGGAATTTTGAATGAAGAGTGGCCACGTCTCTTTACCCAACTAGCCCAGCCAACAAGGAGCAGTGACTGAGTTTGTCAGCTCTCCCCTGTCCTAAGGGATTTCATCTACGGCCTGGGCCTCCTCCACCTCTCTGCACTCCCACAGTGAGACAGCATCTACTTGAGACCCAATGGGGTACACACCCACTGTTCCCCCTAGAGAATGCAGCCACCTACCTGAGCCCCTAGAAGGGGAGTATGCCCACCACCCCTAGGGGCCCACCCACCCCCACTGTTCCCCCTAGAGGATGCAGCCACCCATTTGAGCCCTTAGAGGGGGCATGCCCACCATCCCCCCAGGACCCATCATCCCACCCACCGACATGAGCCTCTTATACTCATCCAGGCGCTGCTTATTGGATGCGATGAAGAGGCCACCATTCTGGATCCAGCCGGTGTGCAGCCCGGTCTCCTCCTCCAGCTCTCGACTTACCACGCGTCGTGTGTGGGCCAGAAGCTCCACCTCCACGTCACTGGGCCTCAGCTGCCACAGCAAGCCTGGGGTAGAGCCGTCAGTCACCTGAGAGCTGGCACTGCACCTGCCTCTCTCAGCATCAAATCACAGACAGCAGTAGGAGCCCAGAGAGATTGACCTAGATGCGGCCTGTCACAATAGGAGGCTGGGGCATTAAGAAGTTGCATTGGGGGCTGGAGAGATGGCTCAACAGTTAAGAGCACTGGCTATTCTTGCAGAGGACCTGGATTCAATTCCCAGCACCCACAGAGCAGTTCACAATCATGTATAATTCTGGTTCCAGGAATCCGATCCCCTCTTCTGGCCTCTAAGGGCCCTGCTTGTATGTGGTGCCTTATGTGCAGGCAAACACTCACATACATGAAATAAAAAACCTGCTCTTGCAGAGGACCTGAGTTCAGTTCCTAGCACCCACACAGTGGCTCACAGCCATCTATAACCCCAGTTCTAGAGTATCTGATGCCCTCTTCTGACCTCTGTGGGCACTACACACATGTGGTACACATACATACACACAGGCAAACACTCATGCAGGTAAAATAAAAATAAATTTTGGCCAGGCATGATGGTGCATGCCTTAAATCCCAGCATTTGGAAGGTAGAGGTAGGCTGATCTCTCTGATATCAAAGTCAGCCTGGTCCACATAGCAAGTTCCAGGCCAACTGGGGCTATACAGAGAGAGAGAGAGACTTTGTCTCAAAATGATGAAAGAAAGAAAAAGAAAGTAAGAAAGGAAGGGAGGGAGAGAGGGAGGGAGGGAGGAAGGGAAGCTGCATTTATGTGACAGGCCTGGTCCTAAGCCTGTGCAGGGTTACCTCCAAGACCTTCAGCTACCCTTCAAAAGCTCTCTCTTTTCTTTTTTTTTTTTGCCCAAGCTGGCCTCAAACTTGCTATATAGCAGAGGATGACCTTGAACTCCTGATCCTTCTGTCTCCACCTCTAGAGAGCTGGGATTATAGGCATGTACCCCCACACCTGGCTTTCAGAGGTTATTTCATAGATAAAATTCACAGACACCAAACAGTTCTGAGATCAAGTTTGCAGAGCAGGTAAACGGGGCAAGAAGACTACTCACAGGAACCCACTGTCTCCCCAAGACTGCCACTCTCAACAGCAGAGCCTGAGTATTGGGGAGCCAGGGATGAGGCTGGCATAGCGTGGAAGGGCAGGGCCTGTGTGGCATGGAAGGACAGGGCCTGACAGCCTGGGGAGAGGAGCCAGGGCTCCGGGCCAGACTGTATCAGTTTCTGAGACTCCAAGTTTACCAGCCTCACACTGGCCTCCTGGGGTGGAAGTGTTTACACCATAGGAGCTGACAGCCACGATGAGCCAACAGAGCTGTTCGCCTGTGGCCAATGGTTAAAAGCGTTGAGGACAGGCAAACTGTTATGGGTGTTCCCTGGGATTAGTCAGGGAGGTGCCAAGAGGGCTCAGGCTCTACCTGCGCAGCCCCATCTATCCCCCACTCCCACCAGACATGCCTCTAGCCAGTGGCTTTCCCTGAGGAAGGGGTTTCTAGTCTGGTAGACACAGCTGCCTGAGGCTCCCCGTCCACCCCCCCCCGGGGGGGGGGCAGGGCCATGGGAAGTGCCTGCCTGACCCCCGACCGCAGCCTTTGGAAAAGAAAGCCTGGCTGTCCTTTCACTCCGACCACACACCTCCCCGTCTAGTTCTGCTGCTCCATCAGACTTGGGGGGGTAGTCAACAGACTGACCCTGACTGTGACCCCACCCCACCTGCTCCCAGGCTCCCACCTGCCGTGTGCCAGGTCGTTCCAGAAGTTAGCCGTTCTCGCTCCAGCAGCACGGCTCCGCTCACGCCCAGCTTGGCCAGGTGGTACAGGGTCTGGCAGCCCAAGCTGCCCCCACCAATGACCACCACATTGGCTGTGCTAGGTAGGGGCTGGCTTGGTCCTTGGGGTACTGCTGAGGGACTCTGGGCCCCCTCCTTCAGGGTCCGCTGGTATGGAACCCTCTTCTCAGCTGTAGGACCAGCCTCTCTGGCTAAGGGCCGCAGCCCCAAGCTCCCGGCAGATCTCCCTCGAGGCCAGGTGGCAGCTACACGCAGGGCTCGGCTCAGAGAGGCCATCGGGGCTTCAGCACTGTGGAGCTGAGGAAAGAGCTGGGCTGCATGGGCTGCAGTGAGGGCGCCGTAGGGACTGGGCTGAACGCATGCCCAGGTCCCTGAGGGCCCCTGAGGTCCCCATGCCTACATCCCTGGCCTACCTGCTACCTCCTCATGACAGGTATTCACCCCTTTTCCCATTCATTAACTCACTCACTCATTCACTCATTCATCCTGGATGCATTAAGGGCCTGATGTGCAGAAGGCTCTGAATGGGCCCAGGGAAGACTGCTCTGGATGGGGAAGAAGTGTCAGGGCCACAAAGAGAGACCGAGATGTGGAGCCGACACATCCAAAAGATGTCCCAAATGGGGCCTGGGAAAGAGCGGTCACTCATGGAGGACACCTGAGGACAGAGGGCCAAGGCTGGACATAAGAAGGGGCCCTCAGAGGAGCACAGGGTGTCCTCACAGGGACACTGGAGACCCAGAAGGAATGATGGCGGCTAGAGCCAGGGCCCGCAGAGAGCCCCATCAGAGCCTGGAGGGCTCTGCACTGGCCTGAGCCAGGGAGAGTCCCAGGACCTACCAGGTAGGGGTGGGAAAGGAAGGCTGGAGCCCCAGAGGAGTCATCAGCAGGAATGGTTACCCCTTACACACAGGGCAGAGGCAGGTGGCCGTGTACGGGAGGTTACGGGGCAGGAGCCCCAGACTGGTGTTGACAGAAGACCCAGACAGGAGCTCTAGCAGGTCCACTAGGACAGTCCCTGCCCAACCCCACATTAGCTATGCTTCCTTCAGTGGCTCCCAGCAGAAGCCAATGGAAGCTGTGGTGTCTAGACCCACCTACCCAGGGCCATGTGGATTCAGGTGGGGCTCAGACGCTGGTTAAAGAGGCCTCTTTCCCTCCACAATTCTAGCTGACTTTTGGGGCTCATCCAGAGCCCCCCATCCAGGAAGTCCTCTCAGATCTCCCCAGCCGGCAACATCTAATAGTAAGAATGTACCAGGAGAGGTGGTACCCAGGGCATCTCCTGAGGGCATGCAGAAGGAAGGATGGCTCCGAAGGGCTTCCGTTGCCCTCCCCTGGGCTCAGGCTTTGTGTGGGACCTGGGATGCTGAGGTGAGTGAAGCCACCTTCCTTAGAATTAGTGACTTACGGTATCAAGTAGCCAGTTTACTGAGAAAGTTGTTTCTCTAGTCGGACATGGACAGCGGGCTCTGGGCATTCACTCATGCACAACACTCTGAGGCCCAGGACTATGTCGCTATTTCACAGGGGAGGAGACTGAGGCAAGGAAAGACTCCTCAGGGCGACCGAGCTCACAGGCCATTGTGTGGCCATGCTGGGCACAAGACCAGGTGGTATGAAGCCAAAGCTAAAAGCTCCCCTGACCCTTGCCAGCCTCCTGGCCTGCAGCTGGTTTGGGAAACTCAGGACCCAGCACAACACCCTGTCCCGCCTGCACCAGTGGGCACTGCTGAGCGCTCGATAGACGCAGTAGATGATAGAACAAGACAAAGCAGGGGGCCTGTGCTCTGAGAGGTCTCAGGAGTGGGGACGGATTGGAGTTGCAGACAACAGCTGTCCTTGGCCTCACGGTTTCTCAGGTACCCTCCCCGCCCCCGTGACAGCTACCTGTCTGTGACTTCCATAATGGAAGACAGGAGGGCATTCCCCCCCACAGGTCTATACACACCTTAGTCCTTGAATGTCCTTAGTCTTCCAGAAGCCCCCAAGAGTGGTTCTCTAGCAGAAGAAAATCAGCATGATATGGACCAGGGGCAGCTCTGCAAGGCTGAGCACTGTCCCCACTGTGGGACACTACCTCAGGCACCACGCACCTGCCAAAGGAACCTCCTTCTAGGCTGTGCCCAATGCCAACACTGCTGGCCTGGGGAGCTGCCACGTGCCCTTCCCTGCCAGCCCAGCCAGTCAGGGCCGTCCCCACAGTGGGAGTGGGGGATGGGGGCCAGGACCCTGGCTGACTCCTCTTTCAACACAGCTGCTTCATTAACCTGCCCTCTGGCCCCTGCAACTCCTTCCCTCCTCCGCTCCCCAGGAGCCAGGGCACAGGACAGATGGGACTCAGTCACAAGCCTGGGGCCTTGGACATAATGCAAACACAGGACCCTCTTTAAAGGCTGCAACAGGGTGAAAGGGGACCCGAAAGAGGATTACACCACACACAGCCCTCCCATAAGGGAGACCACCCCCAAACCTCCACAGTGGCCCATAGCCCTCCCACCCATTCCAGGTTCCTGCAGCCAGAAGCAGAGGGAGGTTCCAGCCAGTCAGTAGCCAGTCCCAACCCCGCCCCTGGAAGGGAGGCCAGGACACTGCCCCTTCCGGGGTGGGGGCGGGGGGGTTTACCTCAGGCATCACCCTTGGCCAGTGTCAGAGCCCTCACCCCCTTTTCCAAGCTGCATCTGGGTCTAGCTGATCTGGTCACCTACCTGCTTGCTGCCAGTCCAATGTCTCTGCCTACAATCCAGGCAGGCAGACACCGCCCACTACCCCAGCTTCCTGGCCAGCCCAGCTGGGGTAACTGCCAAGTGGGCAGCTCCCCCTGGCTGGCCGTCAGAGCAAGGCGTGAACCCTGAGCCCAGCACTGTGGTTGACCTCCCGGTCTAACACACTCCCTGCCTCATCTCTAACCCAATATTGCTATGGTGACTGCAGCACCCTCCCTCCGGACGACCCCCATCTACCGTGGTTCCCCGTCATGAGCCAGCTCAGCCTGTGGCTGTGTGGCCAGCCCCCCACTGTGCACTGGGACCTCCTAATGAGGTCATCTTGGCATAAGTCTGTGTTTCCAGCCCCAGCCTGTTCACTCCTGTGATTAGACAGGGCACCCACTGTCTAAGTCTTTTGGCATTGCAGGGGCTCCTCTAGCAGCCTACGTACCTGGTGCCTCTCTTCCTGGGATTCCTGCCTCCATCTGACTGCTAGGACTATCTGAGCCCAGAGAGGGGAGCCAGCTTACCTCAGCCCACACAGCAGGCTAGGAAGGAGTCTGTGAGTTGCCTACATCCAGGGCATGAACTCATTCCAGGCAGAAGTAAATGTCCAGAGTAAATCCAAAAAGAACGTGTGTATCCTGTGGGTGTCCAGAGACGCAGAGGAGATGCTGGTACTAGATGGGCCTCCTCCTCCTTCCGCTGGGGCAGAGGAAGAGGGATCTTTCGTGTAGCCCTGTTGACCACATAGAGCGTGCTGATCTGAAAGGGGCAGAGCTATGGCAGTGTTAGAATTCACAACCGAATGCTTGTGGTCTGCGCATAGATTGCCTAGCTATCTGCCTTGCTGCCAGCGCGTCTATCATGTACATTTACTGAGTGCCTACTGGTGGGAACCCAGAGATACCTAAGAGCCAAGACTGCTTCAAAGGTGCTCAGGGTACAGCCAGCTAAATCCAAGAGGAGAGGCCATCCGAGGCTGACTGAGGGGTCCCTCTGCAGGTAGGTGAACCGGACATTTCAGAGGGGCAGCCTGGGCTCTGTGAGCTAAACTGTTGCCTCTGGTCTCGGTCTCTGCCTCAAGGGCAGACACTGGTTGGTCCTTGGCTCTATCAGTTTAAGGCTTCTCTGGGACGGTGTGGGGTCCTGGGACAAGAGGGCAGTGCCTGGCCCCTCTGGATGGTGTGGCCTGTCCCAGCCACCTGAGGTTAGTCTATGTTCAACAGACAGGGTGACAGGCAGACTAGAGAGGACAAGGAAAATGGCCCATGTCCTTCCTTCCCTGAGTTCCAGGCTCAGAGGTGTGTTGGGGAGGAACACTGTCCCTCAGGGCAGCGGCCAGGCAGCAGAACTTCCGGGGCCAGGCCACGTTCTGAAACCAGCAGTGGCAGTTGCAAAGTTGTCCCAAGGCAAGCAGGCAGCACTGTCACCTGGACTTTGGATGGGGGTGGTGGCCAGAGGCCGGCTATGGGTCAGCACTGTGGGAGCTGTCATCGACCCTGGCTTCTCACCTGCTCGGGTCAAGGAGAGGTGGGAGGCTGTGCCCCTGGGTACAGGAGGGCACAGCTCACATCCGGCGACTCCAAGGCTGGGTGCTACTGACAGTTATGAACGCGGGCTGCTCTCCTCACCCCTCCGGTCACCGAAGCAGGATTGTGACACCCCATGCTGTCAGCTTCCAGCAATCTTACAATTTCCCTGAGTGTTTTGACTCTCCTAGAGCACTGTGAAGGAACCCAAAGTGCAAATAGGGGTCATGGTTGACTCTACTCTCCAGGGTGAAGGATTGTCCTCAGGCCACAACCCACACACTCAAATAAGGGCTGTGGTGGACTCACTGTCCGCCCTCAACACCCCAAGATGCTCTTCCTTCTAACGCAGCTGGCCCTGCTGCAGGCTGCCCTACCTGAACGGACATCCCTGGACAGAGGGTCTTCTACCAGGTTCCACAGGTGTCCCCGAAAAGAAAACACTAACAACGGTACAAGTAGGACAACAGCTTTGCCAAGAGCCGCCCCTGAACCTGCCCAGAGAAAGCGGTGCCGGCTCCAGTCACCTCCAAGCAGTGCTGGTGTGGATGACCGATGGGGCCCAGGCAGTGTGCAGCCTGCCTATTTGTCCTCTCGGGGGTGATAGAAGTGACAATAGCCATTGTAAAGATGAGAAAATCAAGAACACAGTCCAGAGGTGACAGATCTACCCCAGTTCACAGACCAGGGAAGTTTCCAGAATAGTTTTAAGGCTTTGTTCATACTGATAAGATTTTACTTTTCCAATAAGAACTTAAAAGGGCCAGAGAGATCTCTCAGGAAAGTGCTTTTCCCTTAGAGCCCATATAATTAATAAGAGTAATAACAATAACTTTCAAAAACCAGGCATGGTTGCGCCTACTTATAGCCCTAGCCTGGGGAGAAATGGGCACAGGAGGCTCTTGGCACTTTCTGGTCCATGGGCCTAGCCTATTTGGCAAGTCCAGGGCCAGTGAGCAATCTTGTTTTGAAAAACAAGTGAAATGGGGCTGGAGAGATGGCTCAGTGGTTAAGAGCATTGGCTGTTCTTGCAGAAGACCCAAGTTCGATTCCCAGCACCCACATGGTGGCTAATAGCCATCTATAACTGCAGTTCCAGGGGATCTGACCCTCTCTCTGTCCTCCATGGGGACTGAACAATACAGGTGCACTTACATACACGTAGGCATAACACATAAAATTTTTAAAAAATAAATTAATTTTTAAAATTTAGAAAAAAGGAGCTGGAGAGATGGCTCAGCGGGTAAGAGCACTGACTGCTCTTACAGAGGACCTGGGTTCAATTCCCAGCACCCACATGGTGGCTACGAACCGTCCTTAACTCCAGTTCCAGAGGAATCCGAAGCCCTCTTCTGACCTCCGTGGCATTGCACAACACGGGTGCACTCACATACATGCAGGGAATACACTCATACACATAAAATAAAAATAAAATTTGTTTTAATTTTAGAAAAAAGTGAGGGATGGAGAGTTGACTCAGCACTTGGGAGCACTGGCTGCACTTGTTGAGGGCCCGAGTTCAGGCCCCAGCACCCACAGAGTGCGTGTAACACTATGGGCCTGTTGTTTTACAACAGCTGGTTGTAACTGCAGCTCCAGGGAATCCAGTGTCCTCTTCTGACCTCTACAGGTTTGCATGCATGTGGCGCACTTACATGCATTCAGGCAAAACACTGATATACATAAAAAAAAAACTAGAAAAAAACCAAGGTGGATGGTGCTTGAAACATACATGAGGTTAACCTCTGGCTTTCACACACGCGCGCGCGCACACACACACACAGGTGCATACATATACACACACACACCCCTTCCATCAAGCATTACCATGGATACCCTCCAAAGCAAGAGGCCCTACCTAGGATACTTCCCCAGAAGCAGTCACCACCCTCTGGGGACAGCTGCAGCCTGTCCTGACACAGGCATGTCTGAGAAGGACGCTGGGCCCCTCCCTGCCCTGGGCACAGCCGAGTGAACAGCCCATCTGCCAGAGAACCCACATAGCCCATGATTTCTTTCCAATCTGTGAAATAAATATGGTGGGGGAGGCTCCCAGTGGCCGAGCCTGTGCCAGGCAGGTAGGCACTGAACGCACTTCACAAATCACCTCAGGCCCTGTGCCCACAGTTGCGGGTGCCGACATGTCCCACGGAAATCAGAACTGTGTTCTGGAAGCGGGCGGCTGAGGTGTCCTCCAGCCCGTGACAGGTATCCTCTCTTCATGTGCGGAGGGAAGGATGGAGAAGGCGAGATGGCTACGGGGAAATGTGGGCTCAGCAGGTCTGAGACCTCACACCACCACCCAGTCTCCCCAGCTGCTCAGCCCAATCCTCCAGGTGCTCACAGTGGCCTCGTGGGACGGGAGCTGCCCCAGGCATGACCTACACTGAGCTTTACCTCTTCCTGTGTGTGCCTTAGACATTTCCTACAAACAGACCCATCCTGACGATTCTCTTGAAGAGCTGGGACTCAGTGGCCACCCTGGGCCCTGCGCTAGCTGGCCTTAGTCCCCCCCCATCACTGTGCCTTCTCACATTCCCCATTGGAGCCTTGCCTTGCTGGGGCTGCCTTCTCAGCCTCGCACCCAGAGCACGGCTCACGGGTCTGGGTAGCCAGGAAACTGTGGGTCACACGGGGAAGGGAGGGCAAGAGGATCTGCAGAGCTGCCTTTGGGCTCTGGGGTTGGAATGCTTCCCCAGGCACCCAGGAAAGGGCCAGGAGCAGCAAGGGGCTCTGGTCGCCCCCAGAGGCCAGTCCTGGAAACCTGATGGGAAATACCGCCCCGGTGGTCACTTGTGAGTACTGCACCCTTTGGACTTGGCCCCGGCCCAGGACCGTGTGGGTAGACAGGGCTGACCTCCCACTGGACTGTCAGCCTGGGCTGTCAGACAGTCCCA